AGGGTTTCCATAGACTCAGATTGGATGGCAGCATCGTGAGCAAAGTCAGGGTCGATGTTCTTGATATTCCCAAGTTTCTCCACAAAGACTTTGGGTTGAAGTTCCACCCCCATCCACTCCGTGCAAGTATTGAAAACTGTTGGTGCAAGAACACCGCAGTCGCCTCGCCCCTGAATTCACGGGAACAAAAAGTTAGACACCTTACAGTACTTTCAGTCCCACTATTCTATACTAATCCTATAATCCTTATAGGAATTCTCCCGAGTCTCAGGATCTCTGACTGATTTGTGAAGCACCGAAACAAACGCCTTCTTGAGGTCAATGTAGGCTGCAAGAAACCTACGACCGAGAACTTACAATGGCGCTCTACAGTGACTCGAAACGTATGTTGTGGACTTGCCAGGAGTGAATTTAGTTGCTCCGATCTCTAATGCCTCACTGGGTGATCTCTGCTACGTCTCAGAAGTATGTAAATGAGAACCTTGCCTGGTATGCTGAGCAGTGCTGTGCATCGGTAATTGCTGCTGTCCTATCGATCCCCTCCCCTTTCTATAGGGGGATGACCACACGCCGTCCGGGGGAGTGGTATTTGTCGAATGGCAGCCTCAATAGCAAACCCAGCGCCATGGGTTCACAACCAGCCTTTAAGAGATCAACAGGAATGCCGCAAATACCAGGTGCTTTACCACCCTTCAGTTTGGAGGTCGCCCCCTAATTCCCTTTTAGCGAAGGTAGGAGCTTCCGGCACTGGGACTACACCTCTCGCGTCCAGGCCAACTGTTGGTGGATTAACGTGGTACAACTGCCCAGCGTTCACATACCCCAAACTGATCTGAGCTGATGCAGCCATCTACTGAGCACACTGTTGTCCCTTGTAAAAAAAAAAAAAAAAAAGGGCTTGGAGTACTGCTTTCTCGGGGCTTGATACGCAAGACGAAAGTCAAATTGACGCCTGAGCTGCATCGTGCATTTCGTGCTTGAAGGTATTTTGCAGTGCTGTAAGGTCCGTCCAGTTACCGACGAATGCGAAACGATCAGAGAGCCTTAACAAACCCCCGGGCACACACCCCCATCCCTAAATCTGCCCAAGTGATACACCCCGATGGTGTGGACACGGGGCAGTCGGAAGAATCAGAGGGAGACCACGACTAATCCGAGGTCGGCTCCACAGGAATCGACACCGGTGCACCTCAAAGAAACCTGTAAAAATCATATGATTCACAGCGTGTTTCGTAGAGGTCACAATGGCCACAAAAACGGCGGACGGGAAAATAATTGATCACTCTGAAACGGGGCATAGTGGCCTCAGTGCTCGCGAACACTTTGCTAGGGAACACCAATGCCAAAGGTTATTCAAATGTAAGACCTCGTGCCCTCCACTCGGACGGTGAAAAGTCCTGCCAAAGCTGTGGTACTACATGAGCTCTCGAAAAAAAAAAAAAAATAATGCATATGTATGTAATTTGTTTCACCAATTTATCATACTATTAAACCTCTTAAATGTACCTTTTGCCTCGTGAGTACACGTAGAGGTTATTTCTTATTCTTGCTTGTTTCATTTTATGAGTATTACCGAAAGGTCAGTTGTGTTAAAACGGCCCCTCATTCTTTTACAGATCCACTTGAGTTCTATTTAGTTTCTATTTTTGTTTAATTAATTCGTTTTTGTTCCTATAAATGGATCTAAAGGCCAAAGAACTTTACAACAACATTGATAATGATCTCGAGCCACGCGTGACCATTGCTTGACAGCGTTTAGGGTAAATAATGATAATAATAATAATAATAATAATAATAATAATAATAATAATAATAATAATAATAATAATAATAATAATGAATTCTTCATCTAAAGCAAAAGGTAAATCGCCAGAAGCACGCGGAATTCCAAACTGCACCACATCTACGGTCACACAATTCTCCAAAGTCCAAACAGCTGTTCAGTATGTGAAAGCTCGACGTTTGGACCGTTCCATTACGCACGTGTCTCTTTCAATAGCTAGTTTCCACAAGCAAGTACACTTCAGAATCACACTTGTTTGTCCTGCGATTACTAAAAATTCTGATCGTGAGGAGAGGACTTGACTTTCACTCACTCACAGCCGTGTTACAATGAGGTATTAACACCTCGTTCAACATCAGAGTTCTTACAATCGAAGTGGGCGTCTTCCTGCCATTGATAAGATTGCTGTTTGACAAAGTAAGAGAATTCGTTCCTTGTAAAGTGAATTGATAACAATTGTTTGAATGCACGGATGTGTAATAAGGACTTTTGGAAATGCCTCTACGTGTACTAACGAGACAAGAGATAGTATGATAAATTGGTGAACAAATTACATACATATGCAATGTTATGGTTAGTCTTTTTTCGAGAGCTCATGTAGTACCACAACTTTGTCAACATTGAGTTTGTTTCCCAGTACTCCTTTACGTTCCAAATTAGTAAAGCCGAGAAAACCTGACTAGCTGATCCTCCGATTTCAATGATGAGACATGGGTGTTCTTTTATCACTTATGAGACATGGATGTTCTTTTATCACTGGTGCAACATAACCTATGTATTGCCAGCCTGCCAGATAACGCTTGAATCACTAACATGGATTTGGTGATCAGTTTTACGACACGAAATCTACATTTCTGCAAGGGCCATGTAAACAAGAATAGTCCCATAGATGAAAGGAACATGTTGAACAGGGACAAACTAATCAGAACAAAGAATAACAAATGCATAAAGAACAGAAGTCGAAATGATCGCAAAACAAAAAGGAGAGCACATGGTCACTCCTAATCAACAGACAGTGCCTTCTCTCGATTGACATTGAACTTAGTCTCCCACCGGTATAATGTAATCCAATTTTTTATTACATGGAGATCCCTCATGCAGCTTAAACACGAGGGGCATTTCACAAACCCCAAAATTGCGTACGAGAGTTCCGGGATTTCCGAAATCTCGAAAAGGTTTACAAGGATTTCCTGATTTCCAGACAGATTTGACAGATTTGTCAAGTTTTCAATGGCGTAAAAAAAAAAAAAAAAAAAAAAAAAAAATCACTGTTATTATTTTTAAAACTTATTTGTTATCAGTTGTCACCTTACAGGCTCCATATACTTTACCATAAACCATAACTCTGCTTGAGGTTTTTGTAACCCTTCAGACAAAAAAAAAAAAAAAAAAAAAAAAAAAAAAAAAAAAAAAAAAAAAAAAAAAAAAAAAATATATAATAAAAATAAATAAAATAATAAAAAATAAAAAAATCGTCATAATCTGATGGATTAACCTCGGGATTAACTAAATGAGTATCGTTTACACCAACTCATTTCCAGATATTTCCACAATTACAATTATTTGAGCATTTGAAAGGTGCAATTTTTTTTTTTTTTTTTTTTTTGGAAAACTGCGGGAAGAGATATTAGGGGATTAAAGTAAACTTGCTCGACCTTGCAGCTCTATTCATAACATCCTGTGCTTCTATTTTATTGATATTATGCTTTACCAAGACCGCACTTAGGCCTTATTGCTTGACTTATGCGGTAGAGTGTACGGGATATCCGAAGTGAAATGACCCTCGCTTAAACACACACACACACACACACACACACACACACACACACACACACACACACACACACACACACACACACACACACACACACACACACACACACACACACGCACACGCACACACCACACACACACACACACACACACACACACACACACACACACACACACACACACACACACACACACACATATAATATATATATATATATATATATATATATATATATATATATATATATATATATATATATATATATATATAAACATATACTCATATGAAAGATGGAATAATGCAATACCGCATTTTTTATCATGAACATTATAACCTCTCCGATCGGGATTCGATCCCTCGCCGCCAATGCACGTGCATTGGCGGCGAGGGATCGAATCCCGATCGGAGAGGTTATAATGTTCATATACTCATATCTAAAGGGGCGGATCCAATGGGGTGCCACCGGCGCATATCTAACAATCTTCAATTTTCCGAATTTCTGTTGGGGAGCTTCCTCAGAACCTGCAAAGCACTTCGCGACTTCGGCAATTGTGGGTGGGCTTTGACCTCCATTTGTGCGCTCCCTCCCCCCCCCCTTCTAAAAATCTTGGATCCGCCCCCTGATATATATGTGTGTGAGTGTGTGTGTGTGTGTGTGTGTGTGTGTGTGTGTGTGTGTGTGTGTGTGTGTGTGTGTGTGTGTGTGTGTGTGTGTGTGTGTGTGTGTGTGTGCATATATGTATGTATGTACATACACACATACACATTTATGCGTTTTCATCTCCGCACGTACGTATTGTACCATACCAAGGTCTACACAGATATCGTTGACACAAGATGCTGCGCGGACCCTATTTTAGACAGGTCTGTCTTCTGAGTCTCAAACAGATCCAAAACCAAAATAGCCAAAACGTAAATACACGCGCCCACCCCGTGCCGTTCACTGACTTCGTTCATTTCGCTTCATTTAATCCACCCAATTTACGCATACGTTCAGTTGAATTCGGTCATCCATCTTGAGGTCTAGAAAAGCTTCTCTTGATCTCGGTCCATCTGTCCCTTCTCGGCCTCATTCGTTCACTAATCCGTTCATTCTCCGAAAAGGCGATCAATTCAACCAAATCGTAAACATGTAAACAGTTCATTTCATTTCATCTTGACTAACCATTTAACCACTTTGACCTATTTCAAGTTAATTTCTCCCATTCATCAGCTCGCTTATCCAGCCTTCTTCGTCCACCCATTCGTTCATTCGCTGAAAAGTGGCTCTGCTTGAGGCTCATCCCCTGCTCCCTTTATTTCAGTTCAGCTACGGCTATTTCTTCTTTTTTTAAATGTTTCCTGTCAATATTCCAATACGTCTATTCATGTATATAGCCTCCTCCGCCCAGTAAATTCTACTATCCATTCATCCATTCCTTTCAAAAATTGTCCATTCGCCGAAAAGTGGCTCCGCTCTAGGCTGGTCTCCGGATTCGTGCAGTAAGCGCCGTCACAAACAACCATGGCCTCCAGCAAGGGATCGGGACCTCAGGTGATCGACATCTCCAAGCTGAATTTAGAGCAGCTGACCAACCTCAAGAACCAGCTGGATCAGGTACGTTTGGCCGCTGCATCAGCCGAGATGTGAGGCGAGAGAGAAGTCGTGATAAAGGCGCGTGAGTAAGAAAAAGAAGGTGCGTGAGTCATCGGCTGCAACGTGGGTGTGGGTGGAGGCTTTGGCTTTGCTCTGGAATTTTTGCTTTTAGCGTATTTTTCAACGCTCGTGTGGTGTCTTTAATGAGAGTAAAGGTTCCTAGGGTGAGTTGTGAATTAGTGAATAGATAAGCTTGTAAAAAGATGTGTAAATGAGTAATTATAAATTTATTATTTTTATGTTTTTATGTTTATCTTTAGTAGGTTGTACCATTATGTAGAGATGTATATTAAATAGTCTTGGGTTGAGTAAAACTACTGGTTAAAATACACAAAAAGACTGACAGTGAAAATCTTAGAGTTATATTCTGGAAGGCAATAGAAAACTGAATTCATCGATGTTAGAGTTAATCCGTAACATCAAACCAATATGAAAAAATCAATGAACCTATACAACTGCCACACCTCCCATGACTATCAGCAGCCTTACACTACTTCGCAGTGATCAAATTTAACTACCTAGTAACCCTACATGAACTGTCTTGGCACATGTAGGTGATGATGCCATAACCAATCATTATTACTCAGTCCAGTTCATTTCTTTCTTGACGTTCTGGTCAAATTGACTGCCGGTGACATTGTTACAGTCTCAGAAGTCAGGGATTTTTTTTCCCCTCCATATTTACGTTGCATATCTTAAACAACTTTTCAAAAGTGGTTGATGATTTATGATGTAATTAGACATTATCTGGTGTGAGTGAAGTTTTTGCCACGACGTGATCTGATATCACCCGGTGTAAGTTTGTAAAACATGGCTCTTGCTTTTGAAAACATTCACTCTCATTCATACCTCTTACACGATGAGGCACCTTTTTCATTTGAGTAGATTTTGAAAATATTTTGAGATTGACGTAGCAAGTGGTAAACAGACTTTAAGATTTTTGAGAGATCATTGAAGGAATGTAACAAGTGAATCCTTGTTTCTTTGCAGGAATTGCAGTTCTTCAATGAGTCATTACAGCAGCTGAAAATAGCCCAACTAAAATTCAATGAGTCTGGAGAATGTGTCGATAAGGTAAAGTATTCAAGTGCACTTGCATGAGGGCTTAGTAAATGTAAGGAAGATATTTGTTTTGTTGTAGAATCATGTGTTATTAAGAGGTCATTTGTTCCCAGTGGAACTATTTTTTTCCCCAATCTTTTAATGTTGTAATTTCCATTCAGTTAGTTTGTATTCAGATAAATAAAACAGCCCCATACCCCATACCCCCATATATTATACATACACACACACACACACACACCACACACACACACACACACACACACACACACACACACACACACACACACACACACACACTCTCTCTCTCTCTCTCTCTCTCCTCTCTCTCTCTCTCTCTCTCTCTCTCTCTCTCTCTCTCTCTCTCTCTCTCTCTCTCTCTCTCTCTCTCTCTTTCTTTCTTTCATATATTCTCTCACTCACTCATACACTCACTCACTTGTACAGTCACTCACACACTCACTCACTCACCTACCTACCCACTCACTATTTGTTTTTAAAAGAGAACATGCCCTTGGTATTTCAGGTCACACCCGAAGTTAAGGGCAAGGAGGTCCTCGTTCCTCTGACCAGCTGTATGTACGTTCCTGGGACAATCGCTGATGCGGAAAAGCTGCTCATCGACATCGGAACAGGATACTACGTGGAACGGGTAAGTGGACTTCTGGAATTTGGTCTAGGTTCAATTTTTCTCGTAAATGTAATGCTTCTACCTTTTTTCTCGATTTAGGTAAAATAGAAATAGATCTGACCTACTGGATTATGTACCAGAAATTAACAAAGAAAGGGGCTATTTTAATGAGAAGGATCAACCATAGGAAGGAAAAGGCCCAACTAGAATATGGAAATAACCTAACCAGTCGGCAAAACCGCACATATAACGGGGTTCCAGAAATGAAAATAATTTAGACCTAGCTTATTAGCTCATTGGTCCACCAGGAAAAGAATACAAACACAATTATCAGGTTGAAGTCATCGTATACTTCATAGTACAGGCTGTGAGATGTTAACATGCTTTTTCAGTGATCATGTTTAGCAAATACGGGTTATATTCACAAACTTATCTTCTCAAAATTACCACTTATGGTCTTAGCTGTGGATGGAGTAGTTGATTCATGAACAAATATCTCATCTGGCAGTAAGGAGGTGTTCCGGGTGGGAAAACCTTTGTTTATGTCTTTTGAGGATGTTATCAGGAAAGTTTAAAGTTGGTCAACCCTTATAGTGGAGCCTTGATAAACTGAGAAAGATTAAGCATTGTTCTTTCAGAGTGAATTATTTCTTTGTTTTTATTGATATCATTGTTGATTATTGTTATAAAACATTTTTTTATTTAAATGGTAGTATTAGAAGTAAAAGTAGTAGTAGATGTAGTAATAGTAGCAGATGTAGTAGTAGTAGTAGAATTACTTGAGCAGTAGCAGAAATAGAAGTTACATATGTAACAATATAACTACAATAACTTCCATTTCCTCCTAGGATGTCCCAGGAGCAAAGGACTATTTCACCAGGAAGGTCAAATTCGTCACAGAGCAGATGGAGAAGATTCAGAAGATTGCCGCAGAAAAAAGCAAATTGAGAGAAGGTTAGTAGAGAGTACTCACTTTACTTTCAGGTTAATGAGCTCTGCTATATGAGGATTCTTAACCCATTGGATCCAGATGCTTCATTGCCATCTCGTGGCTCAAAATATTGGCATTAGGCTCACATGAGTGGTAACTCTGACAGGTGTATGACTTGAAGGCCAAGTGCATGTGAAAAATTGTTTGTGGTGACAAGACTCTGTTCCCTCCCTTTGCAATGTTATTTTCTCTCATTTATGCAGCAGTGTTTTTAGCTTTTTTTGCCATTTTCCTAGGTTCATATTTGTCATTTGATTTGCTTTATCATGCAGTAGACTGTTCTCCTTGTACAGGCTCCATATCATCTCTGTAGGTAGTACATAACAGTGCAAGAGTAATAGCACTAAGTAACATTTTTTATTTGTGTAATTTTTATTTCGTAATATTCAATTTTCTATAATACACCCTGTTCCGCTGGTCATGGTAGCCAGGAATAGGATCCTGAGCATAGAGTGTCCTCAGCAGTACATTCCACACATTCATTGATGGAAATAATGCAAAAGCTCCTTACTAAATGCAAATTGAGTCTAATCAGCTTGCAAGAGCTTTGTGTACTGGTGGTGAGTCCTGCCCATCACCCTGGCCTTCAGATGAAATACTCACGATGGCAAGTTCACGTCACCTTAGCCTGCAGCCAGGTTTTTTCGTGACTTGATGGTCAGGTCATCTGGATCATAGGGTTAATGAATGTCATAAATGCTGTACTGTGTTGATACAGTGATAGACAATCCCATTATACACTATAAATGTGTAGCATAGTAAGTTTTCATTCCATATATTAGATTTACAATTAGTAAAAGGAAATGAATTGCTCCTCTTTGCAAAGTCATTTGCTCACTTTCTGCAGACGTATTTTTGTTGTTTTGCCATTTTTGTAAATGATAGAGGACTGTGTTATAGGAAAATGATTTTTATACCTTATTTGGTTGATACCACAGTAATCTTGAAAATATATGAAAAATTCAACTCGATATTTCAAAACTATGCCCTTGTAGGCTTTGAAAGCTGTAGCACACTCAATTTTAGTTCGAAATAAACATTTTATGGCTCATTTTCTTGCTGAATAATAAATCTTGTGCTTGTTCCTTTTTGTTTTTGCAGTTTTTCTGTGTGCTTCTAGTAAAAGGGACATATTTGTAAAAAAAATATATAACTTTCTCCCCCTAAAACCATTTATTTCAAATATTCACAAAAAATCAAAAACAAAATTCTGATCACACAATAGATTAAGGATAAATCTGTATAAAGATAACCTCAGAATGCCTGTGTGATTTTTTTCTCGATTTTATCAGCTTTTTAAAGAATTGTCAATATTTAAATTGATGATTAGGCATTTTAAAATTTTTACTATAACTATTGATAAAAATAGACCTCAGGGATCTTGCTATCGTCTAAAAAAGGCATTTCATCAAAAAAAAAAAACAAAAAACAAAATATCATCACCTTAATCTGTAGGATTCGTGTGTATTGCAACCTGCATGTGGACCAAAATCTGGGCATTTGGCCCAGCTGGAGAGCAGCTCTCCTATGGGTGTGGCTTATAGGCCAGGCCTATGGGAATACTCATGTGCAAATTTAAGAATCCTTGCCTCCCCTTTGCAAAGTTTTCATCTCTTTTTCTGCATATGCATTGTTTGTTTTTTTGCTATTCCCCGAGGTCTGTATTTGTTATTGTTATGGTAATAGACTATTTTTGTTGAGCAGACTCCATAGTATCTCAGTAGGTAGTCTTTGACTCTGTTCAGTAATAATAACTATATTTGACATTATGATATTTGTATGAAAATATATTTTATATATTTTTGTAATACGTGATTTCCTGCAGCTGGTCATGGCAGGCAGGAATAAGGTCCTGAGCATGGAAATAAGTGGCCTCCCTGGAATTGGCACTCTCCCAGTCATGGCCCACAAATAGAACATTCCAGTCATTTACCAATGTAAAGAATAGAAGAACCCCTTCCTAAATACCCTTTGAGTTTTATCTTTCTCCAAGAACTTTGCGCACTTATGATGAGTCTTTCCCGTCAGCTCGGCCCTTAGTAAAAAAAAATTCCTGATAGCATATTCACTTTGACATAATGGTCATCCAACCCAGTGGGTTATTATTAATCGTCCTCAATGTA